CAACAATTAGTATGGCACACCTCTTAAAATATTCCTATTCCTGTTATAGTATAGACTATAATAGTAATAAAAAGATTTTATAATATGAGTGATTCTAAATCAACAAATTCCCTCGCATTATTTTATCTCAAATAGCTGTTTAATCTCATTGCATTAGAAACTGGAAATACTTTTGTGACTTTGGCAGTTATGATTACATTATTGATTTATTTTCTGGCCAAGGTCCTTGGAGTCCCAGCCTTAATGAAATGTTACAGCTGTACATTTTTCCTTGAAGTCTGGATTACTTTCTGTAGGATAACTTAATAAATGACTAAAATGTACTCCAAAGTCTTTATAACTTTTTTTGTTTTCTAGGAACATTTCTCTCATTCTTCCACAATGCTCTTCTATCACAGCTATATACAGGAATCACACCTCTTAACAGTGATTTATAGAAGATGAAATGCCCATCTATTTCTGAAGTGTGAAGATAAACAAAAAAATACTGAAGTACCTGAAATACACTGGAGCTATCTAAGACTTTTTTATGGCAGTGACTTTTTTAGTGATGGCATTTGTTACAGCAACACAGTATTTTTGGTCTGATACCTTTTATCTCTATTTCCAAAGTCATCCTCATTACTTACAGTGCCTGCTCCATGTTTAATAGGATCTCTAGTGTGTCCTAGATTAATTTATAGAGGGACTTGTCTGGGTTTTCCGCACTACTCCCTATATTCCCCCTCCCCAGTATGCTGGGAGGCATAAAGGCAGGTAGCTAAAACCCTTCTGTCTCTTGTTCAAACCTCTTTCTGCTGAGGTAAAGAAAATATTCAAGGTAAACACAGCCCACAGAATGTTACTGTTGGCAATGGAGTACAGTATTCTGCAAGTTCATGTGGTTAAGGATGAGAAGAATGACATGTCTCCTCCATCTAAAGGGTTTTGACTTTTGTGTTTCAGTTGTCTGGAAGTTCTTGTATCACTTTCTTCTCTTACAGATATTAATACTTACAGAACAAAGCAAAATAAAATAGTGTAATTTATTATATGACTAATGAAAACATAAATAATTCTGTTGCTATTGCAATTAATTTACTAATTTTGCTGTGGCTTTTCTGAATTGCAGTATTGTTTTAGTGTTTTCCTTGACAGCTTTCAATACTAAAAATGGTAGAAATTCTAGTCTAGTTTCTCTTCTTAGGTTTTTCAATACAAATCTCAAAAGATGATACATTGAAATGGTTTATCTGTTGTGAAATGGCATAATAGCACAACAGAGCATTTGATTAGCCTTGGGCATGGTTCCTGATGGGAAAACAGGTGTCACAGTCTGGTAGACTGGATTGTGTAATATCGGAGGTGTGCCTGTGAAAATAACATTGGCGCTAAGTAGGCTGATTTGAAAATGGGAGGCTATCAAGTCTTCATACACTGAAATATTCTAATCTAGTGTAAAATTTTCATATGTAAAATGGTTTTCCACACTTGATGTAGAAATAAAATTAAAACAGATCAGTTTTTAAAATGTGAAGTAAAACTGATCACTCTTTTGAATGTGAAATGAGCAGCTCTTTCCAAACCTTGACACTGGTCCTAAAGTTCAGAACATTCCCAGATGCTAAACAGTATGCATGCAGCTGCATAACCCTGTTGTTTCTCTCAAAAGTGAGTACAAAGGCCTTCACCCCGAGAATTTTTAAATGTGTCTCAGAAAACCATTGCACAGAATTGACTATGATTTTTTATTCTGCTTTATTTTGTTGATTTTTCATTCCGGAGAACCTCAATTACCAGAATTTTTCATGGAAGCAAATAAATTTTTAGGAGGCCTTTTCTCTGATTTAAGATAACACTTACAGTGAAGTGGAATAAGACACCAACAAGTCAAGGATTAGGGCACAGATTTGTAAAAGGAATGAGCTAGTTGCAAAGATTTGTCTCTGTCGGGTACAGAGCAGGAACTCTAAACCAGTCTTTCTCTGTTACAAACAGGCACATCTCTGTTTCTCTGTTCAGGCACATCTCTCTCTCCTTCCTATTTATTAACATATCCATATAAAAATATGTCCCCACTCCTTTTCTTCTTTTTGTGGAGAAGATAATTGAATTAAAAGAATTAAAACAATTAATATGTTTTGATTTTCACATATCTTAGTTTCCATCCAGCTGCCCCAGTACCAAGTCTTTAGGGCAGATGACCTAAAGGACAAAGCTTTTTTTCAGTGAGAGAGAGGTGGTTGTGGTTTAAAGTCACTCAGCTGTCAGTATTCAGCATTAGGTGCCTTATTAAAATGCACAGTTGAGAAATACATAAAGTTTACATTATTAAAGGAAATCATATTGAGTTATCAGAAAATTGATGTCACATGTGCAAGTGTAAAGCAAATCAAGTTCTCCTGAGCATGGTGTGATTTCTTGTCATTATACAGACATCCAAAGTGAATTCAAAAATTTTACCATAGTTTTCACATGCTTCATGCAAGAGTACCTATCAGATGAAGTGAAGACTGAGGCCAAGCTGGCTGTGGCTTATGTAGTGTATACTGCTACCAGAAATCATCCTAAATGCTTTCTCTGGAAAGAGCAGTTCCTTTAAAACTGTAACATGGAAGGATGCCTCTTATAGCTTGACAGTGGTGCTATGGACTCCATAGTTTTTGTCCTTCATTATGGTGATATATACTGTAGCTGAATATGGGTTTATCTTAATTTTTCTGGAGGTGATGCTACACTAGTGAGTTGTAAATAAATCTTTACAGATTGTTCTTTGCAAGAATGTACCTTGTAACAAAAGGCTTGTAAAACTAAGCAGTAAAAAAATATATTAGTAAGATTTCTAGAATTAAAAGATTGAAAGATATTTATTATTTGTTTATAGATTCTTCTAGCTCTGCTCATAAGCATCTCTCATAAGCAAGAAAGAGAAGCTGCTGAGCTGTGGTGCTGATCAAGAAAGAAGGTTAGGGTTCCAGAGATAGGCAGGTGGATGTTTAAATTTGCCGTGGGTCACTGTTCAATTCCAGCTGAATTCTCCTTACAGGTGGCTTGCCAAGTGGTGTGCCAAGATGACATTTATCCAGGAACTGCTGGGATGGCAAGCTGCTTTAGACTGAGGAAGAGGGTCTTTGCTTTGATGAGGAAATTGCCAAAACTCATGTCTCATTAGTGTTTCCTAAGATTCTTTGGAAGTGAACAACAGTTTAATTAAAGGCTGATGTAAACATGTTTCTGCACTTTCCCTGCAGCATTTTATCACATTAGAATTGATCAAAATTGTTGCCTTGGGCTGTCTTGAGCAGCTATACATCTGGAGCACCATTTGTGCAAGCTGCTGATGAACAGGCTACATATGCTATGTTTCACAGCAGCTCTTCTGCCTTCCTATGTAGGCAGATTTACCTTGTTGGAAGATGAGATGTTCTAACCATTTTTATTTGCATAAGCCCCTTGTACTTTGATGCAATGCTTTAGAATGTGTATAACATGCTACCTGTTTGAGTGCCTGTGTGCTGTATCTCCAGAGTAATATGAGAATACAAACAGTGATTTGGAACAGCACTGAGAATTTCACATTTGAAAAATATTCTCAGCAGGACAAGACACTGTGTCTGATTAATTCTGACCTTAAAATGACTTTGTCCAAGTGCTTTTGGCATCTTTCTGCTTTTCATCTGTATTTCAGATTTTTTTTTCCAAAAGCTTATTTTATTTTCATTCTCAATGTAATGAGGATTGGAATCCCTTCCTGAAACTTAAAAACAAATAAATAATTTTTCAGCAGCATTGTTGAAGATATGAACTTTTCAGGTTATTCAGCACTCATCAGATGTAGTAGTCAGGATCAAACTGGAGGGTGGGAATTGCAGGGGATGGTGGAGGGTCGCAGGCAAAGTCTACTCTGGGTCTTGTGCCAGTCTGTGTCTTGTGCTGCTGTCTGATTGACAGCAGGATGGGGCAGGTTAAAAAAGTGGACTCTCAGTTTCATGTGTCCTGCTCTAAGTTCAGTTCAGAAAACACTGGTCCAATTTGGTCTCAATAAGACATTCACATTTTCCAGGTCTGTCTTAGCAGAATAGAGTGTGCCAATATTAAAAGGGTCCAAAATAATTTAAAAAATAACCTGGTCCATGTAGGAAAGTCTGCTGCAATGTGGCCCCTGTCCAGTAAAGTGCTTAAGAAATTATCTCTGCTTTGAACATGAGTTAGTCCATTGATTTGAAATGGAACCAATTACAATATTGATGTCTGTTCTATAAAAATATTGCAATTATACTTGAAATAATTTAGTGCAAAGTCCAACAAATATTGATCAATTAATTTAAACTTTCAGAAAAAATCCAGTATTTTTGCTCTGGGGAACTTCAGTAAGCTTGGTAGGAATCATATATTTGTCCTTACTAGTGTGTTATTTTCATATAGGGAGCTCTAAAGAAATGTTTTTATTGATAAGGAAACTCAAAGGAAGAAGTGACAAAACCATCCTTGAGACATGGAAAATATGAGACAAGTTAAAGTATCCCTTGTTCTTAGGGAGGTTTCATTGTTTCACTATGTTTTGGGAAGAGTAATGGTAAGTTCTGAAGTAATAAAATAACAAATACCATAAACTGGCATGTGCATGGCAATTACCCTACACACCTGAGTGTAGGTGTTCCATTAAAAAATGCAATAAAAATTAAGTGGCTGTTGAAGGAAGAGATGATTTGGTGATGTTCTGGGAGCTGAGAAGTGTCTAGGGAAGGTCTAAAACCATAAATTTCTTCACTATTTGACTCTTCCGGTATGAAAGAAATGTAGTTTCTGTTTTGCAGGACAAGGACCTGATAGGACATTATTTTTAATTCTCAAATTTGAAAGCAGTAATTTGAAATTATTTTCTTCACCATCAGGGATTTGGATCATCATACAATATTTGTGCAAGAACAGCAAAAAGAAATATCTTCACTTTATAAAACGAGGTGTCCTGAGGCAGGCCTCTAAGCTAATGTTACTGTTACATTGGTTTTTTATTGTAGATATGTCTTCTCCTACAATGAAGAAACCTGAAAAGCCTTTGTTTAGTCCTACTTCTCCCCAGGATTCGTCATCAAGACTGAGCACTTTTCCCCAGCATCACCACCCAGGAATCCCAGGAGTTGCACACAGTGGTGAGGATTATGAAGGAGGAAATAAAAACCTCCTGTTCATTTGCTCTGTTCTCCTTTCCTATAATAAGATTGTGATGCATTTTTGCCAACTTTCTTAGAGACCTAATCCAATTTATACTACTGGTGAAAGTAAAAATGGTAAAGGTTGGGATATCCTTGCAGGAGTATTAATTCAGCCGTTCAGGTAATCTGACTGCTGGAAGTAACTAGAAAGGATTTAGGATTAACCAGTGAATAAAATAAACTGTACAATGCATGAAGAAACTGACAGAGGAAAAATCCTCCCTGTATTGCATCCTCTCACCTAAATCCCTTTTTTATTATTGCTGCTATGACTATATTGTATTTAAATACAAGAATAGGCAGGATTTAATACACAAGAGAAGTCACAACCATGTTATCTATGTGACACAATGAAATAAGTACCAATGCTTTTTCAAATGCTGAATCTAAAGAGTCCCAATTAAGTATTTTCCAACACTTGTTTTCAGAAATCAGTAATAAATCCAAAGTAAAAATTCACTTGAAGTAAGGATGGGATAGGTGAAATGTGACAAAATGCATATGTTGTCTTGAGGGTTTATTAGTAATGTCAGGGAAATTCCAGCATTATGGTCTGTTTAATTTTATAGGAGAGACTGACCATGGTTTTCAGTTGAGAACACAGTCCTCAGAAGTCCCTTCAACATCTCATCATGTTTCCTTGACATAAACTACATAAAAAAACTTTAATTTCTTGAGCAGAGCTGAGTGACTAGAGTAAAACAGATTTGAAAAATTTGGGGTTTTTTTCTTTCTCATGCAGTTTTGCTTTGAGAAGTTTCTGTTTTAGTTTTCATCCATGATTTCAAGTGAATGCCTTTAAATTAATGTGTAAGGACTCTTTCCTCCTTAACATCCCCTTATTTTTTATTACAAAATGGTCCTGGACTCATTCTGGGTGCTCTGAGGTTTCCACTACCAGCAGATACTCAAGCATATAGAGATAATGGGTGAAATGAAGGGAAAGATTTATCTTCATTTTTCTATTCTTTTTTGAATAGCTCTGACATGCCAGAGCAGTAATTAGTATTTTGTTTAAACAGAACTTGGTGGAGCTGTCAGTAAAATGAATGTGCTACCAAAAAAACCCCAAAAACTTAAAAACAAACAAACAAACACAAAACCAACTTATGAGTATATCTTTATATTTAATTTAGAGTATAGTTTTAAAATATAATTAAATGACAATCATAATGTAAACTTGTTAATGAATTATTTACTTCCTGGGAAACCCCATTTTAATCTTTGTAGACTGTTCTATTATGCTGATAAGCAATGCCCAAAAATATAGAAAGTCCTTTAAAAATCAAGCTGAAGAACCCAGAGATGTGAAAGGTGGTCCAGAAGAGCAGTGTTGATGTGCATGTGATGATACAGTAGAGAACCATTAAACAGTGTAAAAATGACCTTGTTTTACAGACCTGATTTGGTATTTTTCCACAAAAGAAAATGGAAACGCCTTGTTTCTCCTCCATTTCCATTGAACTAAGCACCTCTTGTTTTAATACACCAAGTATGTGCTCTCTAAATGTGTAGCAAGGGTGGAAGGTGTGCTCATGTGCAGTGTGATAGAAGAAAGCTCTACACTTCCAGACTGACAACTGGACACCAGAAGGACAGTCTGTACCTTCCTTCCTGCATTGTAAGAACATTGTCAGATTAGACACTGCACATAGTCTTTAGGTAGAAAATTGTCTGTTTGTAAGGGCTGGAAATAAAGAGAATGAAAAGAACAAAAATGGGTAGGCTAGATAATTTTTTTATTAGTCAAAGATAATTTTAATGGGTGGATTGGTTTCTCAGGCCCTGAAGTTGAATGTTCATTAACATTTTCATAAAAGTCAGCAAATATTTGTGGCAATACTAATGAGTAGATGTTGCTCTGTCCCCAGATGAGGCAGGTAGATTGCAATGCCATGAGGAATCCTTGTTTCCTGGGGCTTGGTGATTTTCCTCAGTGTTGAAGTGCTGTAAATAAAAGTGGGGGCTTTATTTAGTATATTTGATATGAATTTTTTGGGGTCCACATGGGAAAATTCTGTAACTGGAATATCTTTTATGTTGGAGAATGACTTCTGTTACCAAA